CAAAATCTGATTAACAGATCACACCAAAAGGACCCCTTCTTACCAGAAGAAGCTGTCACTATTGCACTAAACTGTATGAGGCCAAAGAGCTTCTGAATCAGTGCGATGAGGTGGGTTTAAGCTGGGCCTCCTTAAGGGGGGTTTCCCTGGTGGCTCAGACGGTAAAGAAATCTGCTTGCAATGCAGGAGACCTGAGTTTGATCCCTGGGTCAGGAAGATCCCCTGGAGAAGAGAATGGCAACACACTCTAGTATTCTTGCCTAGAGAATTTCATAGACAGAGGAGCCTAGCGGGCTACAGTCCATGGGGTCACAAAGAGTTAGACACGACTGAAGGACTAAAATTTCCACCTTCACTTCCTTAAGAGGGGAGGTGCTTCATGATTTAATCTTCAGCAGCCTTCCTATCACGGAGACCAGGGCTTGGGGGCCTCGACGCCCCCAGGGGGACACTCCGCAAACAACAGAGAAAGGGACAGAAGCCACTCCCCAGGCTGACTGGTAGGGCTTCTTTCCTTCCTGTGCTCAGCTTTCCAGGCAGGGACACTGTTTCCTGCCTCAGCAAGACACCCGGGCTCCTTTCCGCTTCCAGCATCTCGAAGAGGACACGAGAGATGGAAAAGCACGTGGAGCGCAGTGACCCATCACCTCTGCCAGAAACAGCAGCTCGACTGAGTCCCCCTGACTCAAGGAAGTGTCCGTTTCCTGTCATCCTGGTGGCTAAAGGGGAAGCTCACGAGGGAGGCAGTCCTGAGGATCTTCAGACACATGGATCCTCATCTGAAGCCACGATACTCCCTCTGCCCCGGGTGCCTCAGGCTGGAAGGCGTGGGGTGAAGGGTAGATGTGCCTGCAGATCTGGGCAGGGGCCAGCTCGCCGGGGCTGCCTCTGCCTGCATTAGACCACCACTCCCAGGGCACGCTCTGTCCTCGTGGGCACAGCCAGCATGCAGCATGGCAGGCTGCCTGGCTGCCTGGGAACAGGGCCACGGCCAAGACGTGTGTCTGGAGAAGAAAGAAGCTCCACCAAGCAGCCCCTTGGCCCAGGTGTTCTTTGCGCTGAGGACAGGGCGGCAGGGAGCGTACAGTGGCTTTGCACTTGGACCGGACGGCTCTCTCTCCACCTAAATTGATTTGTCACTTCCCTCTGAGCACAGGAGGAGGGCGAGGATCCAGGAAGACTGTGCATCGCGGCATCAAGAGGCCGAGCTGTGAAGGCCGACCCGCTCCGCGGCCACCCTGCCTGTCCCGAGGTAGGAGGATGTCAGAGCAACACGGGGCGGCCTTGGCGGGCTGCGTGCTGCTTCCAGAGACGGAGCTTCATCTCCTCAAGGTGACCAGATGGAAGGACATGCCCCCCTCAGCACCGACTCTGCCAAGCCCTGGGTCCGAGAGCTCAGGGTCAGAACCCGTCCGGCAATGCAAGGTTTTGGCATCTGGGCTGACATCGCATTTTTTGCTGGGGCAATTGTCCCCTTTTCCTTCATCAGGGGCCAATCTACATACTAATTTCATACTCTCTGTCGTAACCAGAGATATGTACACTAGTAATTCACCACCGCTACCTAAACTAACTGGATAAAATGACAAAAGGTCATTTTCTTAAAAATAAAAATCCTGACAGAGATGAAGTTACTGTTCGGTCGCTAAGTCGTGTCTGACTCTTTGCAACCCCATGGACTGGAGCATGCCAGGCTTCCCTGAAGTCAGCTGTTCATTACTCATTAAGTGTTATTAATGAGTAAATACTATTTCCGATTTTGAGCACAGTCAGTCACCGTGCACGGGTCTAAGTGACTGGATGGCGCGCTCCCCCGGGCAGAGGCTGACTTGGGAAGAGACGGGGAACACAGGACATCTACTCCCACAGAACTCCTCCTGCAGTAGTAGGTTCCTCTCAGGGGAGCTGGCTTCAGATCACAAAGGGAAAGCACTCTTGTTTAACTTTGATCAGGCTCAATATTCAAGGAAAGTCGGAGGAAATCCTAAGAGCGGCACACAGGGAACCAGAAATTCCCTTCTGGGCACCAGCATGTATTTATTTTGTATCTTGGATGACTTATTTAACACTTCCTTCTCCCTCAACCTCCCAATCTGGAAAATTAAGTCATTTTCACCCATTTTGTAAAAGAAAAAAAGGCATTTTGGCAGTCTGCTTCTGGGCCCCAAGAATGGAGTCAGAAGCTGATGTGAACCCCAGAGGAGCTGGCTTTGCAGTCTTCCTCCCATTACACCGCCGCTGATCTGTCCTGTCACTAACACACCTCAATGTCCATGGCCTCCCCACCCGACCGAGAACGCCTGAGAGACGAGACTGCTTCTGCTGCTGCTTTCACGTTTCCTTCCCTATGCCACTCGCTCCCAAAGTGGGCCGAAGTCACCCAGAGTGCTTGACTCCAAACATGGCACTTGCTGCTGCTTCTGACGACCAGGATGGAGAGGAAAGGATGCCAACCCCCATGTTTGGAAGGTGCTTTGCAGATTCAGAGCAAATGCATGTTCATCCGATCCCGACATTGACCAGGAAGGGGGAGTGGCCCCCACTCTCGGGATGAAGGTACGGATGCTCGGAGAAGTTCAACAACCTTCCTGCAAGCAACACATGCAGGACTTATACACACTTATCTCATTCCACATGCACAAGCAAGAGACACAGGAGATGCGGGTTTGATCCCTGGGTGGGAAAGATCCCCTGGAGAAGGAAATGGCAATCTGCTCCAGTATTCTTGCCTGGAGAATTCCATGGACAGAGGAGCCTAGTGGGCTACAGTCCATTGGGTCGCAGAGAGTGAGACAGAACTCAGCAACTAACACTTTCACTTTCTGTCATCTTTCCTCCAGCTCCACTGCTCATGTCCCAGGCTGCCCCAGGCCAGAGCCTGCTTCATCTTTAGCCCACTGAGGAGTCCTTCTCTTGTGCCATTTTGGTCAAGGTTAAATAAATATGGTTTTCTTCAACGTGGATCGGAAATTGATAATGAGATGATTTGTAACAAATGATTAAATGGCCATCACTTGGGAAGCTCCTCCTTTCCCCCTTCCCACGTTTCAAAAGTTGAAAGGTGCTGGGTGAAGGTGGAACGATGTCACTGCCTCCCAGAGAAAGAAGCTTCAGCCCCACACCCCTCACCCTCCAGCCACTCCGCAAACAGATGTCGGAGAGGATCCCTCTGCCTACCACCCAGTTACTCTGAAGAGATGATAACAGCCATTGGGGGGTTAAGAAGAGGCAGTGAACCCCCAGTTAATGAGGAGGAATTCAGCAGGCAGTGTAAGATAAATGGGGCTCTCTCTGCTTCTGCTGGAGTCAGCATGAACTGCGGCCCTGCGGCTTGTTTGTGGCAAATGGAGTGCGCGAAATATCAAAGGGCAGTGATCCAGAAGAAGACCGACTTTGACAAATTTTAAATTGGCCAGAAAGAAAACCAGCAAAAAAAAAAAAAAAAAAAGGAAAAAGGAAAAAAAAAAAAAAGAGAGAGAGAGAAAATTATGCAATTCTCGGTGTCCTGCAATTGTGGCATTGCTGCCTTTGTACGGAATGAGGGGTAAATACTGCAGCAACGATTGCTGGACGCTGGGAGCAATTATGAGCATCTGAGCGAGATGCTTATTGGTGGCTGGAGCTTTTAGAGCTCTCTCTGTGTACAGGTGTGAGGAACCTGCACTTGAGCTGCAAGTTACTTTAATTAAAGTGTACGGGGCTGGTCAGAAGTAATTATCCTGTTTGGAGAAGAGGGGAAAAAAAACACCTCAACAATTCTGGGTGGCAACAGATTTAGAAACAACTTGGCCAATTCCTTGTTGTCTGTGTGCATGTCCTTTAAAAGGATCAGGCTGTGCTCAGTGAGAGTTACTGGCAGTTGTTTCCTAATGGCAAACAATGGGACACGAACAGGGCTCATGGTAGCCCGATCACTGTGTCGGGCAAACACTCTGGAAAGCCCCATGGACGGAGGAGCCTGGAGGGCTACCACCCGTGGGGCTGCACAGAGTCGGACGCAAGGCTCAGGGCTCCAGATGTGTGCGGGCTCCAGAGTGAGGGCGGGCACACACCAGACCTCTGTGTCTCTAGATGGTGGGGATGTAAAGGGTTCACCAGTGGTACTTTACTAATTAAACTATTACTTGGAACATAAAGAGCTAGCACCTCTTGTTTTACGTCTTCCATTCACTGGATTTCACTAGCTTTTAAAGACAATCTCTCTGTTCCTTTAGAAAAAAACAAAATCAAACCAAACCAACAAACAAAAGAACCTCAAGTCATGATCTTTTACTAACATAGCAAAGATCTCAGTGGGAGACCTGGGCAGAAAATCAGTGTTTTAAGAGACTCGGAAACTCTTTCAGGCTCTGGACTCAACACAGGGCTCCCACGGTTTAGTCCAATGTTCAAACCCCAAGAGCCTTCCAAAAGCCCCGGGAACAAGTGAGCAACATGGTAAAGGCTGGATGCACGGAGCACAGATGCTCACGGGCACTGCTGCCTAGCCTCTGCTGTCCATGCACAGGGCGCGCTCTCAGCTTCCACTTCCCCAGCTCAGGATGGCCCCAGCATGCTGCTGGGCCAGGGCTGTGGCTTTCCCATCCCATGACACGGACTCTTACGTCCCCCAGTAATGAGGCGGGCTCGTCCAGAGAGACGAGCAGGAACAGGGTACATAGGCTGACCATGCTTCCTGCCTGGTCAGCCTGCTGTCAACAGCAGTGTCCCACTAACCCTTCTGGACAAGGACATCCACGAGCCTGAAAGATGGGCTGCTTGGACTACAAGGAAATGTCAGAAGGAAAATCGGGTGACTTTCGCCTCTTTAGGGCCCACTTCCCCTTCTATTACACACACTGTTTCATTCCACCAGGGTTCTTACCATAGAGAGGACAGTAAATAAAGATTATCATGAATTTGATCAAATGCTTCAGTACCTCCTCCCCTGGCCTATGAATGCACTCATTACAAATCAGCTGAACGGCTCATTGACTTGCCAGGAGGACAAGCAGACATACCCAATCGCTCAGCCAAGTGGATGTAGACTGGGTCCACCCGACGCATGGTTTTCACCAGATCCTTTCTGCGGAATTTGATTTCTACTGTCCCTTCTGGCTCCAGGACGGATCCCCTGAATCGGAGAGAAAAGAAAGGAGACAAAACAGAAATACAGACACCTTAACGAAAGGAGACAACAGAAAGAGGCCGGTTACAATCTGTGGAACCAGGAAACAGCTTCGTTATGGTTCTGCCCACCCACAGTTCACAGAGGTAACCCCGGGGAGAGGCGCAGGCACCACAGAAACGTCTAAGTGGTCTGCGAGAAAGGCCTGGCAGAAAGCAAATAAAACAATTCTCATTATGACATCAGTCTACTTCCATCTCAAAGGGAAAAGAATACAGGTTCCACCATCTACAGCTGATAAGGGTAAAAGAAGTCACATTTTCCAGAAAAAGAAAAAAAAAGGTTGATGTAGGCACAGTGACAGTTGAACAATCTCCATCACGCATGCTGTGCAACGAGGGGAGTGGGTGCCGACCAGTCCCACAAATGCACGGCAGCCTGCTGTTTGTACTCGGGCTCACGGGGCCAGGCCAAGCGGGAGAGGAAACGATCAGCCTGACGCCATGGAAATGACAAAGTGAAGGGCTTCAGGGTCACTTCTAGTACCTACTGATGATGTTCCATTCCCAGGAAGTTCACCCTAAACACCTTTAAGAAAACCTTCTACACATTAAAAAAATTACATACATATGTATATTATTTTATACATATATATATATACACATAATTTTTAAATGTAGGTGGTTTTATTTTTTTTTAATGTATATAGATAGATAGATAGATAGATAGATAGATAGTGACTCCCTAGATGGCATCAATGATAAAGAATCTGCCAATGCAGCAATGCAAGAGACGTGGGTTTGATCCCTGGGTGGGGAACATTCCCTGGAGTAGGAAATGGTAACCCATGCCAGTATTCTTGCCTAGAAAATTCCATGGACAGAGGAGCCTGGCAGGCTACAGTCCATGGGGTCACAGAGTCCCACACGACTGAGCGACTAACACATTCACTGGTGGGTATGTGTACACACACACACAGAGCCAATGCTTACTCAGTGCATGGCACTGCTGGTAACTGCTGGCATACCAATCTTCATGACAGTCTCATGCCCAGTCTATGTCCACTCTGAGGTAAGGTACTATCATCCTCATTTCACAGAGGAGGAACCTAAGGTAGGGGATGTTAACAGACTTGTCCAAGGATAACCAGTGGTAGAGCTGGACCTGAAACCAGACAGTCTTGTTCTAAATTCTGCAGAGGAATCGTCTCCAATCTGATACCAGATCAGAGGATATGCTGGGACTTAAAAGTCAGTTCTTAAGTATAGAACGTTAGCATAGCGATTTGACAATAAAACCACTGGATTCTCAGGCAGCTTTTAAAGTAAGAGGCTGAAATTTTGGGGAAAAGGGAGACATAGGTGTTCTAACAAAATGACTGGCTATAGGGACTGGCATGGAAAATGTCATGGAAATATGATGTAAGATTTACGAAAGGGCTGAAAACAGATTATGAAAGGAAGTTGGATTTGGTCCATTTTGTTTCAGGTGCCAATGCCTAACGGAAGCTTTGGATTTTCCCTTGCAGTTCTCTGCGTGATGCGAACACTGTGCTTTCCAAGCTTCGAGCGAGGCACTGGCCGTGGGGGAGAAGCTTTGCTTGGAACCACAGAATGTGGGTGCCACGAAGCACCTCGATGGCCATCCAGCTCGTCCCACAGACAAGGGGAAGCAGCTCAGGGAGAGTGAGGACCGCTCCAAGGTCCCCTCTAGCCTGCGGCAGGGTCTGGTGAAGACTCCAGGACTGCAGACTAACAACTCAGTCCTTCTGCCCCACCTCGCTGAACGCTACCTCTGCCAGACACCTAAGAAAGAGATAGTGAGGGACTTCCCTGGCAGTCTAGTGGTTGAGAGTCCGCCTTCCAAAGCAGGTGGTGTGGGTTCGATTCCTAGTCGGGAAGCTAGGATTCCACACACCTCGTGGCCAAAAAACCAAAACATGAAACAGAAGCAATACTGTAACAAATTAAAAGGAGACTTTAAAAATGGTCCCTATTAAGAAAAAAAAATATTAAAAAAAAAAAAAAACAAAGATACTGAATAGGTCTATCTGAACAACCAACAGGAGAGTGTCTCTCAAGTCTGGGGGTGCCCGGGTAGAGAATTTCATGGTAAAAGAACCTAGGGTGGGGGGGTTACACTGGGAAAGTCTGACTCCAGCCTGGTTCCATTCTCGTGCTGGCGGATGCTACCTAGAAAGCCTAGCTTTGTGACCTTGGAGCCCTTTGGGGACAGTCTGAGGCAGATAAAGGCCTCTTGGTTAGACAGGCTCTTCAAGAGGAAACCCAACAGCTAGAGGCTCCCCATGGGCAGCGAGAAGCGAGGAAGGAGCGCTACCTGCTCTCTCGGTCCGCGTACATCTCCATGTGCCGCGGGTTGATGGTGGGGTCAATCACCACCCAGGAGCCACCTCGGAGCTCGGCCTGTGGAGGAATGTAGACCATCACGGGCTGTGAGCACTCCCGTAAGCCATCCACGATGTAAGCGCCAAACTTCAGCACTTGGTCATACATATCTGGGGAGAAAGAGACAAATCAGAGGCCATGAAGCGGTGCTTCCAAACACTGTTCCCATCACGGTACACAGAGAAATAAATAAGGCTGCTCGTGACCAGAGGTGACCGGTCTAGGGGTGCAGCCACCCCAGGTCCTGGAGACTAAAGTGGCTGGTGTCCCCAGCTGTGTCCTATTTAAGACCCCAGGTGATCTTCAAAAGCACGCCAGCTGTGCACTGCCTGGGCTTCCCTGGTGGTCTAGTGGTTAAGAATCCGCCTGCCAACGCAGAGGACACAGGTTCGACCCTGGTCCAGGAAGATCCCACACGCCACAGGGCGACTGTGCCTGTGTGCCCCAACTGCTAAGCCTGTACACTTAGAGCCTGCGCTCCACAACAAGAGAAGTCAGCACAAGGAGACGCCCACGCACCACAACGAAGAGGAGCCCCTGCTTGCCGCAACTAGAGAAAGCCTGTGCAGTAATGGAGACCCAGCACAGCCAAAACTAAAATAAATAAATCTTAAAAAAAAAAAAGTGCATTGTCTTTCATGAGATACAGGGTGCAGGCCCTGTGGACTGCATCTCCATTTTACATCTTCCCTGAATTTCTGTACTCAGGTTTCACCACATTAATTCACACTCGCTCTACCAGTGTTGAGTATTTTTCATGTCAATATGTGATCTCTCTCACTACATTAAGTTTTCTGAAGGAACTATTCAAGCTCTTTTCAATTCTTCTCATGATACTTAGCATATGATAAGCCCTCCAAATGCACAGCTAATGAAACTGGATCCTTCAAATATTTTATCTTCAAAAAACTGCATCTTTCATCTGTGCATCCCCGGGGCCCTGGCCAGTGCCTGACACATGGTGCTCAGTAAAGCGTCTGCTGAATGAATGAATGAGTACATGCACGCTTTGCAAAAAACACGGTGAGAAAGAAAAAACTAATTCTTTATCAGCTGCATTTTTATCAGGGTATCAATGAGAGAAAAAATTTTAGATGTGTATGAGTTTATTGGAAATATCACACAACCACAGGAAAAGAGGAACCACCTCTTTATTCTGCAAAAGAGCATGCTCTGTAACACCCCTCCCCTCCACCCCCCAGCCAAGGCCAGGAACAGCCTGAAGAAAACGGACCCCTGGTGTGAAAATAGAGTCAGTCCTTGGAAAGCGGGATCAGTTATTTATTTCCCAATAATTTATGGCTTTTCCCCATTTCCTAGCTCACTGAAGTCTAAACACTGCTAAAGTTTTAGGTTTATGATTCCAGATGTTTAATGAGTATTTCAGTGGAACCACAATGGATCCTTTGAAACACCAAATAGCAGGTTCAACTGAGTTCAAACTCTCCTATCAAAGAGAAGATCTCAATTTGGAATAAATCAGTCTAGAGAGCCAAAGTAAAGAAGGATTTTTTCAGGAACTTAAGAGCAAAGAGAAATGGCTTTCATTGTAGTTACTGGCAAATTAAACTGCTACCTTCTCCAAAGTAAAAACGGCCCTCTCTCTGTATGAATCATCAGTGAGCACAGGTCTCTCCGAGGAAACTGTGCAGGGAAGTAGGCCTCTCTCCACTGCTCCAACCTGGCTGGCTGGTCTGTGAAGGAATCCCCCAAATTCAGAAGCTGCCCCAGGAAAAACTCCCAACTCTATGTGGAATGTGAATGGTCATAAACTCTGCATATGATCAGAACAAAGACATTTATTCCTTTGGGAGGAAAGCAAAGACCCAAAAAATTTACTGCTAATTACACAACTGCTGTGTGAAGAGCAGGGAATAAAGGACTTTAAGCGCTTTACGCTAATTCCGTGGTTATGAAAATAATTGCTCAGTTCAAATTATTTTAACTAAATTAATTCTTTAGTGGATATTTCGACCAGAGCTACATAATAAAATAATTGTGTAATTAGCAGTACATTTTTCAGTGCTGCCAAGAGTACAGTCTCAGAAACTGAGAAACAGAAAGGAGTGGTCCTGAGTGGTACCACGCGCGGGGAAGAAATGGGAAGCGGAGATGAAATGACAAGGTGGAATGACAGGAAATGGCGCAAAACAGTCATTCCATGTGAAAAACAAAAAAGTAAGTTAAGAGGTAAATCACTGCGTTTCCAGCCTCTTCGCTCACTTCTGTTGGGTTTGGGTTTTTTAAGTCTTCACTGAATGTGGTACAACATGGCTTCTGTTGTTTATCTTCTGGTTTTCGGCCTGTGAGGCACATGGGATCTTAGTTCCGCAAACAGGGAGCGAACCTGCACCCTTTTGTGGGGGAAAGCAAACTACTAACCACTGGCCCACTGGAGAAGTTGGCTCCATTAAAGATATGTCTACATCAAAATCAAGCTCTGTGCTACGAAGAACAGACCCAGCTCCCAAAAAAGGAGAGGACTTTATTGAAAATGTACTTCCCGTGTATAATTTAAAAAACCTTGATTTTGTGTATAAGCAAATTGTTTGAGATAAAGTTGAGTATGTGTGCATTTTATTTTTGTGAAATGGACTTTGGTCCCTCTTTTTATCTTCACAGCTAGCTTACTGTATACCAGGGAGCATGACTGCATATACACACACATATAAATCAATCATCAGAAAACTCTTCTTGTACCCAAGTGACAGGTGAGTAAACTGAGGCTTAGGTAAGTAAGAGGCAGAGTTGAGACTTTGAACCCAGATCTTTCTGGCTCTCATAAGTCCACATTCTACTATTACATTCTTTTTTTTTTTTTTTTTAAGATTTTTAAAAAAGATTTTTTGACGTGGACTATTTTTTGAGTTTTTAATGAATGTGTTACAATATTGCTTCTATTTTATGTTTTGGTTTTTTGGCCACGAGGCATGTGGGACCTTAGCTGCCCAACCAGTATGGAAGCCACGCCACCTGCCTTGGGAGATGGAGGCTTAACCACTGGACGCCAAGGAAGCCCCGTTACCACTGCACTCTTAGCCCACCACTGCTGCCTCGAGAAAAGAGCCCGAGACCAGAATAATCTGCTTTCCTGTGTCCGACGCAGTAGCCGAGTCGAATGAGAGCCCCAAGAGAGACATGAATACATAAGTATTGCTGAATTTTGCCTGGACTTTTGGTTATGTTCAGAGATACCAGAACTTGTACTAGCAGCTCTGTGCAGGGCCTGGATCTGACTGCCAAACAATTATCTTCAGGCCTCCAAGACTGTGAGCAGAAAAGAAGCATCAAGCTTCACTGCACCTGACAAGTTCGGGACGGAAAACAATGCCCCCATCTAACCTGGACCATCAACAGCCCCCTGCACCCCCCCCCCCCCGCCAGTCCAAACCACCAAAACATGCAGAAAGCAACAAAGGCTGTTAGAATATAATAAACACACGCGCACACACACAACATGCTTGTACTGGGTCCCAGCTGCCCCAAACCAGACATTTCTGTAAGGCAGGCTGAAGCACTTAGCAACAATCTGAATCACATTTGTTTGAAATCTCTTCATATTTCAGAGCCAGAAGCAGCAGGGGAAGGGGGATCCCCGAGGCTTTCTGCTAGACATCAGTCTGGGGAACAGTAAAGCGATGCATATGCTGACTGTCAATTCTCGGGGCTGAGAAATACAACGGGAATGGAAAATACTGATAGGTTCGTCCTTGGAGAGGCGGGAGCCTGCAGATTTCTAAGTGTTCTGAGCAAAACCCATCTGCGTCAACGGTGATCACACAGCCTTCCCAGGGTGTTCTGGGCACCCAGGCACCAACCCTGTCTGGGGCCTTCACTGTTACCCAACGTGGACACTCCGCAGCGGCCACATGTGCCAAACAAGGGAGCAGGGGGTAGGGTGTTTCCGCAGCGCCCCACTCTCTCAAAACCCGAGACAGATCTCATTGGCTTGGGGCGAGATTATCTCAGGAGCTGAAGGTAAACATCAGGCGTACACGGGCCACATACACATCAAGTCGCTTATGAGTTCATTATGGCCCGCTGACGCGGTATTTCAACATCCGAGTAATCAGAGACTTTAAAATAGACTTTCATTCCAGTTAAAGTTTTCAATAAATGTGTTTTTTTTTTGTTGTTATTTATAACCTGTCCTGGGAAAAAATAATAAGTATAACATGAAAAGCCGACTGAGAGTGACCCTGTAGCACCAGCAGTGAGGCAGCTTAATATCAGTGGGATTTGCATCCTATCAAGCTATTCATGCTGAGGCTGGGACCCTGGTGCTAATTTCTAGTAAATTTCACGCTTGATGTCTCCCTGTTGTGGGTCATTGCCGGTTCGTCTAAATAAACTGCTTCCAAATGGCTCTTCCATCTAAATATTCAGCCAGTTTTTATAATTTAATTTTGCATTATGCTGAATAGCCTTCCGGCCAGATAGAGCTCATTGGGAAAAAAAGCACCAATACCATCTTGACATGCTTTTATTTATTTATTTATATTTTTACTGCTCGAATTAGACCTCCTAGGCCGACTAGTAAAGAGTTTTTTTTTTTCCCCCTCCACTAATGTCAATTTTCAGCATAGCAAGAGCTGTCTCTAATCTTTTCCTACTCATTACACACAATTTTGGAGTCATTTTACCCACAGTGCAGTCGGCTCCTGGCTGTGTGTTTGTGTGCACTCAGGGATGGCATAATTGTTTATTTTCCCTCCCTGCATAATCCCCAGCCAGTATTGAAACCCAAACTGCAAACATCTCCCCAAGGGATATGGAATGACTCTCAGCTTTGGTCCCTTTACATGAGATAACATGTAGGAAACATCCTGACCTGTATGTAAATATGGGGGGGGCTGTTCCCCCCCTCCCACTTCCGCACTGTTCTCCATCTTCCCCAAAGCTTATTTGTCTTAAGCAATGTGTAAATGAAACCAGCAGCACCACAGATTCAGAAAACACAGCTGATCTTGCTCCATGTCAGGCTAATAATTCATTTTTGATTAGGGATGGGGGTGGGGATGGGGAGTTACTATTCAATGGGTATAGACTTTTATGTCAGGGATGATGAAAAAGTTTGGGGTATAGAGAGGAGTGACGGTTACACAACACTGCGAGTGTATTTAATGCTGACAAATTATACATTTACAAATGGTTAATATGACAAACATTATGTGGTGCATATTTTACAATTAAAAAACCGTAACTCATTTCCTGAGTTCTTGCAGTTTCTTGTCACAATCATCCCAAAGCAGAGGGGAGGTAGGTGGACAATTATACTTTCTCAGGAACCCAGATAGTCTATTCTTTGGATAGTATAGTAGGTCTTGTTCTGGCTAGTGGCTCTAAACTGTGCTGCAGGAAGTAAAATGGATCTGTGTTCTCATTTTTTAGCTAAACGATCTTAGGAAATTTACTTAACCTAAGTCTCAATTTATGTAAATTGTGGATAATAATACAACTCGCCCCTTAGAGGGGCTTGTTGTGATGATTATGTAAGATAATGCATGTAAAATGGTGAGTGCGCTTGCTGGTGAAAAGAGCTCAATGAATCTTAATTGTTGTTGCTCTTACGGTTACAGGGCAAGCAGCCAATCTGGGCCGGAGCCAAACGTGCAGCAGAATTAAGCTTCCCCTACAAGCGGCACATCGCAATCTTCTGAGCCCTACATTTGTTGGGACAAAGTAGCCAGGTTGACTTACTCCTAAGTAATGTCAGGATGAGTGAATTTTTCATGGTTTCCTAGAAAAGAGGCAGCTAAGAAGGAATAGCACCTGCATTCTCTTCTAAGTCTTAAAGTTTTTTTTTTTGCTCAGTCGTGTCCAACTCTTCGCGACCCCATGGACTGAAGCCTGCCAGGGTCCTTTGTCCATGGGATTTTCCAGGCAAGAATACTGGAATGGGTTGCCATTTCCCAGTCCAGGGGATCTTCCCAACCCAGGGATCAAACCTGCATCTCTTGTATCTCCTGCATTGGCAGGTGGGTTTTTTACCACTAGTGCCACCTGGGAAGCACCTTTTAATGGAAATCTTAGAGCCAAGGGATCTGGGATCAAGGACAATCTGATGAATCTCAAACATACATACAGGAAAGCGATTTCAGAGACTTCCCTGGCAGTCTAATGGCTAAGACCCTGTGCTTCCAAAGCAGGGGGCGTGGATATGATCCCTGGTCAGGGAACTGAGATCCCACATGCCATGCGTCATGGCCACAGAAGTAAAAAGAAACAAAAAAATAAACGAAAGGGATTTCGGCTACCCACCCCCCATATAGTATCACTCTCCTTTGAATACTGCGATATTTTGTTTATACATCATGGGTTTAACTTTCTGCACAGGACATTTTTCTTGATTCCTTCAGGCAATGTCTTTCCTGAGTTATTTTTGTTTTCTCTGAAGTAGCATAGCTCCCTGCACGTAGGAACTCAATAAAAATGTGTAGGATTGACTTGTTTAACCTAGACTCTCAGTATCTCATGGTAGTTCCACTGATTTATTATCTTGGTCAAAAAATAATTCACCTTGAATAGGAATGTATACAAACACTAATTTGCATGTATAGTCCAAGTCTCCTCAAAGAAAGTGCAAAATGGGGTAGCTTTCTGGTAAATGTGGACAAAGGGGACTTTTCAACTAAAATAAAATAAACAAAAAAACCCCACAAAAATTGCCCTGGCCGTCTACACTTGGGTAGGGAGGCTGGCCGTCAGTGCAGGGGTTTTCCTGGCCGAGGAAGGGAAAGTTGTCGGCAGAGGCTCTCACTCCCTCCACACACAGCTGATGACCTGTAACAGCACAACTTCACCAGGCTTTTCTTCCCTTAAAGGCAAGAGACACTCCCGCCCCAAGCTACTCTGGGTGCTTTATTGGGTTCCTTCCCTCACACCTTCTCTGCCTTCCCTCGGATCACGCCATTCACTTCGCAGGATCGGCTCCTCCCTCCCTCTCCTCCCCTAATCCACTCTCGAGCTCGCCCTGAGTCCATCCTCTCTGGCTCCCACACGGCCGTGAACCTCTGGCCACTGGAGAGAAAGCTTCGCGATGCTGGGAGGGAGAGCGCGTTTGCCAGAACCGTCCACGGTGGCTCGGCACACGGAGGAGTCGTCTCGGTAATGGCAGTTCGGGCACAGAGCAGGGCCTCCCTAATCATGGTCTAACATGCTGGAGTCACAGGCCCGGGGCTGCTGTCGGATCATCATAAAACATACCACACAGACTGCCTCCGACAACACCCTCTGGTATCGAATTTGTTCATTTTCCCCTGGTGAAGGCTAATTTCAGGATCTATCTTAGTCGAGGTAGAGCATTAAAGAGTAATACAAACAAAGAGAATGGCCACAAAAAAGGCATAGGGACTCAGCACAACTCAGGACCATCATAAAGTCCATCGCTCACTAAACCTCCAACGGCGGTCCACCTAGATAACCCTAGTAGATGGTTCTGAAATTTTGTATGGAGCAGTTAAAACTTAATTCTCCCATTCAAGTTACAACTCGGAAGGTATCTCAGAGGGCACGTAACCCCCCAAAGCCTAGGGTGATGTGCTCAGGACACCCAGAGGCTCTGTGTGATATAAACCCTCCCCACCCTCTGCTGCAGGGCTCAGGGGCATTGGTCACCCTCCAGCCCAGGGCCAGTCACCTTTCATCCCACCGGAGAAGCCTCTCCAGTTGGCAAAGACCATCAGAGGCAGCCCTTCACGGTTGAAGTCCTTGATGGCCTGATACGTCTTAAACGCGGAGTCTGGGAACCAAACCTGGCCAGCCTGCTGGATAATCTGTTGGGAAAAGCCAGAGAAAGACACAAATAATGACACAGCTTGAAGGGGGAATCTCTTCAAGAGGGGAGGGTTTTACTGTTAGAAACTAAAAAAAAAAAAATTAAACCAAAGTTGTTCATCAAGATCAGCATCCTTGAAATAAAAAAGAAGGATCCTGGCTCTTGGACTTTGTTAAATACGCCTCTTTTTCAGCCTTGATTCTACTACCCGACCCTCCTTAGTCCCAAGGGGGGAACCTTACTGCTTCCAAGAGAAGGACGTGACCTGAGGCATTCTCGTTCAATGCTTCCCAGGGCCACTTGAAGTGACTTGACTACACAACTCCATCAGTCCCCCTGGTCAGAGTCTCCACGTGCGGTCACCTCTGTGCCTGGTCCAGCTTCCCTGTCCTCTGCTTAGTCAGCGGCACCCAAGGGAACCCCCACTGCATAACCTCCTCTTGTCCCTCCCCCGGCCCCTAGTCAGGCTGTGAAAACTTAATCCATCCTTTCAGAAAGGATGGACGGAAGCATTCACATCTGGTATTGAGGGCAGGCGTCCTTATCAACTCCAGAAGCGTCTCTACCACACGTGTGCTCGGAGAACCTGGGACCAGTGAGCTTGCAGCATCATCTCAGCTGTCTTCCTGCAAGACCACGTTCTCCACGAAAGGAGACTGTTTTTTCTAGCATCCGTAAGACCACTGTGAAGACTTAAGAATTTAGCTTGTGCTGCATTCCGAGTATTCTTAAAAGTAATCACATGATGGTCTAGATTCATTCAAGGCTGCTGTCTGGCCTCTAAAATTGGTGGTTCGCAATGCTCCCAGTACATCCCCGCTCTGCAGCGGGGAAAACAGAGCACCAAGCATGGGCACTCAGGAGTACTGGAGGTGACCTACCTTGGCTTCAGAATCCAGGTTTGCAGGATCAGCCGGGATACTCAGCTCCACTGTTCGGGTTTCTACGGCAACTACTCCCACGGGTATTCCTCCTAGCCTGATAAAAAATGACCTATGTGAGGACCCGGTGGACGTCATCATTACAGCTAGTCATTTGTTTTTCAATCCTACATCAACACCTTGGTGGAGGGGGAAGTGGAAACAAATATAGAGTCAGGGGGAAGTCAGACTCTTCCGGGGGTAAAATATTGCTTTACAGATTTGGTAAATATGGTAAATGGGAAGAAAAGTGCCCTCAGCGTCACTCTTATTCCCCAGCACAGGATAAATTTAAACCAAGGGTTGTACCAGGGAAGCATCTGCATCGAGACTCAACAGCCTAGTACGTGTATGAGATCTTGTGCACAAGGGCATGTGTGCATATATGTGCACACACACACATATTCAATCATTGTGGCAGTCAGGTGAAATTTCTCAGTTCACAGCAGGTCTTTGGTAAAGATGGAGGGGAATGGTTGGACAGGTGGTGGTAACCTGAAACTTCTCTGTAACAGACTTGTAGTTTTCTATGGACTACTAATAATGGGGTTCCAGGTAAGACATGATGGGAAAGCAGGTCTCACCACTGGGCATGTGGATGGGGAGTTTGCAGATGTGTTGTGGGATGATGAAAGATATGCACCAAGTGTCGGGAGGTGGTTAAACAAGCCCTCAACTTCCTCTTCCACTGCAAAGAGCAAGGGGCCAGGGATAACCTTCAGAAGTAACCTTGGTCGAACAGGTGATCTATATTGGAAGAATATATTTAATCTCCATGCTGTTAATTTAAAAAAAGCTCTTCAAGGGCTCAAAGCCTCTGCACCTGTACTCTGTGACACCCTCCCACACGTGGTCCTCATAAAGATTTCCTAGTAAAAATCAGGAAGGCAGAGAGAGAGTGGGTGAGCGCAAGCGAGTCTGCAAGGTACAGGGTGAGTCCTCACTCTGGAAAATGTGATTCAATCTTCACTGTCTGAGCTGCATTTCTTGGGGTTGGGGCTGGAGCGGGTTATAGGCTCTCGTTCCCCACAGCATCTCCATAACAAACTTTTCCGTGGAGGATGGTCTTCGGTTGTCACACTGGCTACTGGAGATGGATTCCTGTCATCACAAGAGGCCTGACAGGGGCCAGAGTGGGGACCACCCACCCCCTTGTCACTTGCCTGCACTGAATCAGAATCAAAAGCCCTCTAGACAACCAGACAACGAGCGGAAGGTACACAGGAGGGTTTAGAAATATTTCTGTTCACAATGATTAACAATCCAACTGGAAACTTGTAATTGCAAAAGCCACCCTAAATCGGTAACTTATAACTTATATATTAGGGCCCATGTGACCTAATAAAGAACATCTTTATCCGAGTATTACAGTTATTTATTGAACTTGAAAACAGCTCAGAACAACTTCTGTTTTCTATTATACTTCATATAAATTTTATCAGGCTAGCACATGAAGATGCTACATCTTGTTTTATAGTGTGTCCCTGGACAAGGTGCCATGGAATAATAAAAGACAATTTACAGCCAATAGCACACATATTCCAAACATACATACCAAAGATGAGTTTTGGCAGCACTTATAGTAACAATCCCAGAAGAATACATTTATATTTATTTCTCGAAATACCATTGCTTTAGAAAGAAGCTGGCTCCATTTGTGTTTTATATACTTGAGAGCATGTGTATGTGGTTTGGAGTAAGAAGCCCAGAACTCATCAGATGGAAAGAAAGGGAGTCAGGGTGGGTGTTGCAATAAACAACGGCAGAGCTAACCGAAGCCAAATTTGACTGATCTTGCTCGTGGAACAAGCCCTGTTCTTCCCATCATAAGTGGAAAGCATTATTCTCTTGTTTCTCATGGGAGGATCTTAAAGACATTAACAAAGGTTTGGTTTATCTGAGGCTTAAAATCAGGCATGTTTTTTACAGAGGGGAAAACTGAAGCAGTGTATAGTTGAGAGATGCTTTCTCAAAAAGTTGATCCCAGCGTCCTTCAAAGACTGCCTATAACAAACCAATAGGTCCCAAGTAGAGGGACTCTCTCCCCAGTGGGACTTCTCTAGGCACAAAGAATCCTCCTTGGGACTTGGAAGCCTGTGGCAAGGCAGAAGTCTGGGACGCCAGAAGAAAATGGGAACTAGTCCCTGGGAGCCTTGGTCAGGGCCGACTCCAGGCTGACTCTTATTCAGACCCACAGGGAAAGAGCCCGTCTGTGGGATTTGCCATCTGATGGCTCCGTGTCACTGGCAGCTCGAGGTGTGCTGACCGGCCGGGCAGAGACAACCACAAAGCCTAGAATTATTTTCGAGGCTGGAATCTAAATCTCCCCCCGACGTGGCGTGCTTGAGAATCTGGAGCAGGTGCCACTTTTCAGCAAGATAAGGAAAACTGATTGCCCCCGAGAGGCAGGTGAGCTCCAGATGTGGGTCCCCGGGGCGGCGTGTCTCTGCGGCGCGGGGCCAGATTAAGATCAGCCTTGGCAGGTGCTCATTACAGCGAGCGGCGCAGATTATTCCGTGTAGGGCTCGCTGTTGAGTGAAGCGCTTCTTAGAGTGGGTATTAAAAATTTAATAGAAACTTCGATTTCCCACTTGAAAAATAGAGGTATTCCTGCAAACTATTCCAGCTTATTTTACTCCTGTTTCAGGTCAACTCTTTTTTTTTTTTTTTTGTAATTCAAATCTGATGATAAGCCAGTCTAGTGCATTTGTTACTAGAATAATCTCGATGCCCTGAAGGAACTTCTTCCGGTTACACCGATCTTTCAGGGGGGTCACAGAGAAGTAGATGAGTCTGATTAAATGGGAACCTACTCTGAAAAGAAAATGTTCTTTGGAGCTGGGGTAGGGGGCTGGTGTCGCTGGTGAGCTATGGCTATTGTGGTTGGGCTTTACAGCCCCCAGAGAACTTTGCTTTTGGCATTATGAAAAGGAAATGTTGTCAAAACCAGACTTCAGATTAAACGCGTCATTGGAGTTACATGCTGAATGACCACTGGGAACCAGGGCTCCAGTCAGGCTGCCCTGGGCATGACTACAATCCAGTATTCCTAGGATGTTTAGCCAAAGAGAGCATTAATGGTAAAAAACCCACAGAGCCCTTTGTTTTTGTTGTTGTTCAGTCACTAACTCCTGTCCAACTTTCTGCAACCCCATGGACCGTAGCTCACCAGGCTCCTCGGTCCTTCACTACCTTCTGGAGTGTGCTCAAATTCATGTCCACTGAGTCGGTGATGCTATCTAACCATCTCATCTTGTTTTTAGTTGCTTCCAAAACAAAAGAGGTCTTACCTGGCTCTGCCAACCACCACAGTCTGTGCCCATGGTTGCATGATCTCTGAGAAAGAGCCATAGTCAAAAAATCCACTCAACCACTGACCTTTCTGGGCTGCAGAAGGGAAAGCAAGGAAACAGAAAACAAAGATGATCAGTTCATTCAAAATACACCAGAACTGGTGAATGGAAGGTTGGATCTGAGGGGTTATTTGGGGGAGTCCGTTGTTGTTTTTAAACATATTATAGTAGATGGAAACATTAGGCAGCTCAGTGTTCATCTGCCTACAGACCTCATCTCCTATTTCATTTGCTAGTCTGAATAAAAAGAATCATTTATCAGCGAAAGCATCATTTATTGTTAAACGATGGGGTTCAGCTAGCAGAGTTTGCGTGCTTTTAAATAAATAACCTGGCTTCTTTTGCAAAACACTACAAACATTTGTCAGAAGGCAGCCAAGTCATTAAAGATGTTTTCAAAATGTCTATTTCTACTTTAAAACTTAGCTTACAATTTTGTTTGATTCCACTGATTTTCTTTTGTTTGCTGTTGTTATATCATTATAGCACAAACTGTATTCATGTAATAGTCATGCTCTGCATTTGAAGGGGGAAACAGGATTAAATTATTAGAGGTAATATCTTAAAATCTGAATCCACTGATTTTTCTTTCAATGGAAAGATGAAGATAGGCAAATAAGTATCAATATTAATGATCAGATGAGGACCTCAATTTGGGGAAGAGCTTCTCTGCTAGAAAAGCAACAAGATACACTTGCTTTATTTACTGCTGACAAAGGATAATCTTACTAAAAGAAAGGGCCATGCCCATATACTCTTAAAAGGTATCAGAAATAGGAGGTTCTGATACCTACACTTAATGTCATTAACCTCCCTTGTGCACGGAATTACTTCACTGGCAAGACACATGACTCTCAACATCTTACTTTAAGAGAAACAACTTCTGTCCCACAGGTATCCATGTTTGACCAAGGACCCATCAAAGCCTCTGCAAACAGCCTCAGCTGTTTCCTAGCTGCCCTCTCGGCTCACCATTTCTCAGCGAGTCTTCTAATTTGAACGTGGCCCTCCGCCCCCTAAAAACCCAAGTCCAAAACCAATTAAAAGTGGAGATCCAAGCAAGCTAACCTCTGCTGACTTAAACAGGATGGAGAGTGTTTTATCAAGACTAAACTTGTAATTACTGTGTTCTACATTCCTTGCCTCTATGGCCCCCGTGTAAAATGTGATCATCCATTTCAAAATTATCTCTCTATCGTGAGCCCAAAGCTGATCGTTTAGATTCTGGGCTCGTGTTGGGCGTCAGTTTGAAGAATATCGTGGCACTATCTCCTCTAATAAATGACTTTAACTTTTCACCTAGAAGATATCTGCTTTAACTTATCACAAGGAATCATCTGCTTTCTTTAACGCTTCTACTAAATTAAAATCTGAAGTCACTCGATTTGGGAGAGAGTGTTAGCTGCACAGAGACAGCAGGATGAATTACTAGGGAGTTGATGAAAAAATATTATCCAAAAACCAGAAAACTTAGTTTATCACAAATTCATTTTATTCTGTGGTTCTCATTAATAATAGCCAGGATAATGCCCATCTACATGTGCACACACACCTGTTCAACCCCTGAAAAAGGGCTCAGACTTTGATGAGGGTTCTAAACCAAACTTCTAAGTGCCTCTAAGGTTATCGAAGTTTTGTTAAAAAATAATTTAATTTGTTTATTTATTTTTGGCTGCGCTGGGTCTTCACTGCTGCATGGGCCTTTCTCTGGTTGCAGAGCATGGGCTCTAGGACACGTGGGCTTCATTAGCTGCCACTCCCTGGGCCCTAGAGCTCAGGCTCAGCAGCTGTGGAGCACGGGCTTGGCTGTTCTGAGGCATGTGGGATCTTCCCAGACCAGGGATTGAACCCATGTCCCCTGCAGTGGAAGGCGAATTCTTTACCAGAGAGCCACCAGGGAAGCCCAGGATATTGGCATTTTAACTTTGTATGCCTGGATCATTTTATGGTTCTTACTTCAATAATAATGATTTGGAACTACAGACTTCATTTCAAAGTGGAAATATTTTTTTCTTTAAAACCCCTCCTGCCTAATATGTTGGTTGATGGAGGGGAGTCATTGGAGGGCTACAGGTATTAAAGGTGGGCTTTACTGGGTCCCCTCAAAGAGCAGGTCATGTTCGGTTCATCATCTAGGTAGAACTTAGAAGTCACCTAACATGGCTCCCCATTATTCCCAGGAGAACACTCACTAGGTCTTGTTCTGATTTCTCCCAGAAAAGTCCTGCATTTTATGACTGATAGATATCTTAGGTCCATGGCTCTTATAGTAAGTTTTGAAATAAAAACGAGGTAGGGCAAAGATTATTATGGTGATTTGTCTATGCAGAAGAACTATTTAATTTTATTAAGACTAACAAGAAAGGGCATTGAAGACAACAGGTAAGGTTTTAAATTAAAGTCAGCCCTACTCTGGTGATTTTTCTATCTACAGTTAGGTTTCCGAATGAAGCCTAACTCCTAAGTATTAGCTGTGTGACCGTGCCCAAATCACTTAACTTCTCTGAGCTTGTAAAACGGTCATCTCATTTTATCTCTGAGAAACAGGAAGTCCAAATAAGATGGTATAGATGGAAGTGCTTTACAGTCCCACCTGGCTTAACAGGCGGTGCCCATAAAGGATTACTAAGCTTTCCTTATGAAGAATTCTTTTTTCTTTTTTAACTCTTTGGCTGCACACACAGTATGTGGGATCTTAGTTCACCAATAAGGGATCAAACTCATGTGCCCTGCATTGGAAGCACAAAGTCTTAACCACTGGACTGCCAGGGAAGTCCCTAAATACCTCTTTCTCTTTCAGCAAAATCACAATGACTTTTAAATTTAAGGAATTATCTTCTGCATTCTGTTCTTTTAAATACAGCCCTTTGTGGGGGTGGGGTGGGGGAGGAAACAGTTGCAAGAAACATGCAAAAAAGAACAAACATTTTCTCAAAAAGCCTAAAAACGTAGATTCAAAATGTAGCAAGAGGATTTGGGGCTTCACAAAAGAACTTCCTGCTACAAAAGGTTTGTTAAAATTGCCAAGTGAACTGACAAACAAGAATGTACATTTGCCTTAGGTGAAGTTACCTCTTTTTTCCCCCTGTTGTTGCTTTTTAAGTTTGGTAAAATTAGCCCCAAGACAGAGGGATATATTAGATAAACATGGGGGGAGGGCTTGTTCTAACTCAATATAGTTATCAACTTAAAAGTTCTGTCTTCCAACCAGGGAAGGCAGCAACTTCCCTGGTGGTATAGTGGGTATGAATCTGCCTGCTGATGCAGGGGACCTGGGTTCAATCCCTGGTCTGGGAAGATCCCACATGCTGCGGTGCAACTAAACCTGTGCACCAAAACCAACAGAGTCCACTTACTACAATGAGTGATCCTGCGCGCCACAGCTAGGACCAACAGAGCTGAATAAATAAAGTTTCAAAAATGGCGATAAAATAAATTATACACCTCTGTGTACACAGACTAGATGGTCAAAGATGCTGGTCCTGTAACTCTTGGACTTTATGGCTTATGTTTAACAGTTTTAAAGTTTTTTGAGGCCATTAAGTAATAAGGGCTCCAATAACAGAATAAAGAGAAGAAATGTACTAACGACTACAGGGCTTAGAACTGACTCAGCAACTGATTTCATTCATTTTCCATTTGTTCTTGATGGATTTTCTACCTTCAGAGGGCTGCTGTTTTTCCAGATTTCCCTCATGCCCAGGCACTTCAGGGGCTGTGTTTTCTTTGTCATGTGCTATCGTGCAGGGATTGGTTAGTGACGGAAAGGAAGACTGGAAGCTTGAGGGCCAGGGTGCCACAGACCCTCTAACATACACATACTTGGGTGAGGCCGGCCTGCCAGCATCCACCGAGGGTCATACGGCGCCTTTGTGGGCACAAACTCGATGACTCTGTCTATCGGATCCTTGGAATTCAGGAGAGGAACTGAACTGTATACACTCTAGAAGGCGATGGGAGGGAAGAGCACAGAGGTCAGCGAACAACTCTTAACTCAGCAACAACGGTGACGGACAAAGCAAGCAGGACCCACACACGGAAGCATGCCCATTAGTCCCATCCGGCAGCTGGCAGCAGCCCAATCGGGAGCCAGGCCCTGAGGAACAGGTACAGCTCGCAAGTCTCACGTGGGAGCCTGCCAGAAAGTGGGGCGATTGGACTCTTGATTTCAGTGCACCAGGGCTCTCCGGGAAGTCCCCCAGAGGGGTGGACACCGATGACAAAGGGGAAAGCCCCACAATGAGGAAGAAGCCTTGAGAAGCTGGGGTCTGAGCCCAAACAGGACTCAAGGCTTCCCTGGCTGGAAATCATCAGAAGGGGGCCTGACCCCTGAAATCCAAAGGCATTTTAAACAAAGGTAGGAGGCAAAAGATGGCTTTAAGGGAAAAAAAAAAGAAATCAACAGCTTCTAGAGAATATTTTGTAAGAAAAAAAATCTTTCTCCCATAAATGAGTCTCACACGCTGAGGCAGTGAGCTGTGGCGAAAAGGCCGGGTCCTTCGGGCTTTTGGGTGCCGGCAGCAAGCGGGGAGGACTCACCTTCGGCATGTAAGACAGCCAGTGCAGGACGGTGAACACCCCCTCAAAGTCATCACAGACGGTGCTGTGCGTCACCCCATTGTTGTGCATAATCTGGATGCCCCCCAGCTGGTTGTTCGAGGTGTATACTTCCCTCCCGAGGACCTAGACAAACAGGCCAGAGAGAAGACGTTCATCCCGTCAGAGAGAAAGGCAAGGTCTGTCTCGTAACTGCCACTAAAATGGATTCTTTTTTCTGCAAGACAGAGAGTCCGGCCTCCGTGGGCTGTGTCGAGGGACTGTCTGGACCTTTGTCCTAAAAAGAACACTCAGAAGACACACAGGGCATTTCAGACAATCACATATTCTGTGGCAATGTAAACACCAGCAAGCCCCTCTCTGTCAGCTGCCACAGATGCGTGGTGGCAGGCTGGACCCTCGCGGTGGGTAAAGCTGGGGCCCTGAGACGCAGGCCACACCGCGCTGCTGCCCACAGACACAGAAGGGGGAGTGCCTGCTTCTGACGACCTCAAGCGACGAGTCTCAGTTGAACAGGAGCACTGAGAGCTTCGGACTCCTCGTTTCTTCCAAGGGTTACTTTTCCCCTTTACACTTGATGTTTCACGTGAAATCCTGAAGTGACTCATGACACACACATGAAGCCTTGAGCCTAAAGTCCTCTTTGTGTGCTGGGCACAGGGCAGTGATTTATGCCCTAACCCGCTTCTCCTGGGTCCTTTTCTCCCCAGGTTCCAGGGACTTCAGGGCCTTAATTCCCTGGTCTGTCCACAAGAGGAGTTTAACTCTTGTGAGGGTGAAAAGCACCTGCAACTGGAAACCATAAAGTTTCCTTTAAAAAATAAAAAAGAAAAAAAGAAAAAAAAAGAGAGAGAGAGAACACTTTTCGACTCAGAAATTGTAGGGTTTCTTTCCCCTTGAAGATTGGTTAATAATTTCTTTTGGGGAGGGAGGTTTTCTGAGCCAGCAGATGGAAGCTGGGCAGCCTGATCATGGACTCCTGCAAGCTGCTGAGTGTGTAGTAATTGCCAGTCATCTACAGTAGCCCTGGAGAGCTCTTAACAGTTGTGGAGCTGCTTATGGTATGTTACCTTTTCTTTTCCCTTTCTCCTCCTCCTCCTCTGGAAAATAACCACAACACAAAATTTCTTCCTTACTTTTATTCATTTCCAGCCTCTGGGGGAGAACCTAATAAGGGAGAGACCAGCGAATTCTACCTGTATATTCCCATTTTGCCCCTTCCTGTTCGGAGCTGTGAGCAGCTCCCCTACAGGCTGGGTCAGCCCTGGGATCAAGACCTGCCAAAGGCTGAGGAAGTGGGCAGTCAGAGCCATCACCTCTCTGGGACCCAGCTGGCCTGGGTTCCATTTAGCTTCAGCTACAAAGGGGAGAGGGGCTGGCTTCCCAGGGGGCTCACTGGTAAAGAATCCGCCTGACAATGCAGCAGACGCCAGTTCGATCCCTGGGTGGGGAAGAGCCCCTCAAGAGAGAAATCACAATCCACTCCAGCATTCTTGCCTGGAAATTTCCACAGACAGAGGAGCCTGGAAGGCTACAGTCCATGGGGTCACAAAAGAATCAGACACTCACTTAGCAACCACACAGCAAGAGGAAAGGTGGAAGAGACTCTTCTGAAAGGAATATGGGAGGCAAAATGGCTCTCGGATTTCTGCTTTCCTTACTAGGGAAGCACAGAGACAAGCCTTTGCTCAGCCTCTGAGCTGAGCGACATGCCCCGCAGCACCTTTGAAGGAGCCCCCGGAAGTGGGGAGGCCGAATCTGACCACTGGGCTCCCGTCCTCCGCCCAGGCTCTTTCATCTCAGCCCAGGCGCTGCGGCTCTTTTCTCATTCTCCTGCTGTCTCTTTCCATTTGCCCTCTCCCTGACTGATACACTGATCTCTCGGTCACTCGGCTTTCTGCTCCACTGCGTCCATATTACTAATAACACCTCCGCCACGGCCAGTTTACCTCATGAAGGCAGGAGCACATCATTACAAAATAAACTCATAACTTTGACATTCTAGCAAATACACGCCGTTTGTTATTTTTATGGCTTTAGTCTTTCTAACAGGCAGAGGGCATTACATACCTGTTTCCTTTCTCTTTAAATGTGTGTGCACATGCACACTCGCACATGCATCAGGAAACAAGATAGAGCAAAAAAAAAAAAATAAACCCGACCCCCAGCAAATGTCCAGAGCAGTCAGATGACGGGGGACCCCGGTGGAGGCAGAAGCCCTGTCACTCAGGGAGGCCGCGCTCCGATCTGGCTCTGGTTTTATGGACGTCATAAACCCGATGGCCCACAGCTGGTCCTTCTGGGACAGACTGCCTCTCTGCCAGAAGTCGTTCGGTGTGATCAGCAGTATTTTTAATTATTAAAATAAAATTGGAAAGGGGGAAAAGAAATAAAAAGGAGACACTGCACTGACCCTGAATATCTGATACCCAGAGAGTATGTCAGGGGCCCAGAATGCCTTGCTGCCTAGAAGCAAGAAAATAGCTAGGGTTATTTTGTACTCAGAAATGCTATTTTCTTTCCCATGAAACCCTGTCTCTAGGACTTGATAACATCCAACCACTTAGAACCTCACACCTCTGCCAAATCAGTAATGGACCCATTGAGAACCAATCTCAGAAAAAGGGACTGAAACCGACCAAGAGATGCTTAGCTGTTCAAATATACCTTCCTCAGACATCTTTGACCCCTCATTTCAAAGAGGAAGAGAGCCTCCAGAACTGGGTTCCTCCTGGAGGCTTCCTTGTCCACCCATTCCACCCCATATTCTTACATCTAATGGGAGTCAGATCTGGAAGGAGTAAGAGTTAATCACTTAGCATGTCTTCCCTTTACTAGTGGAAACTCAGGTTCTGACATCTTGGCATTGTTCTGAAAAGGCAGCAGTATTTCTTCTCCTCTGAGGAGGAAAACCAGGGCTTACTACAGCCAAGAACATTATCCTGGGCTGAAGAAATATTTGCCATCTGAGAGGATTCATTACATTTGGGAACTAAAGATAAAAATTATATGGCAGGCAGAGTATCTGAAGAGCTCTCTCTCTGGTCAGCCTTATCGCAGGAGGTGGGCAGCAGGGGGTGGGGGCAGAGGGGAAGGACACACAAAAAATGAAGCCTGCTTCACTAACCACAAACAAATGCCAACAATCATGGCTACTCAACAATTGGGGAAGAGAAAGCAGGAGCCTCCAGTTCATCTTCAACGACCATGTGTTTGCAGCACGTACCAGGAGAATGAGGGCGCACCCAACAGCTCCTGATTTATAGGGGTCGTGGCTGACTCAAGTGGTTTTAATGATTTTAGAATACTTCACAACAAAAGCTTCAACTGCAGAAGCTGAATCTGGGCAAAGACAAAACCCATTCTGCTCAACTCTGAAATGATGGCACTGGAACAGTTACGTTAACCCTGATGAGCATCAGGAAGGCAGAGAAAAGAACCCACCTAGACAGAACCACTGCTATAGTCTTCAATCTGTTGCCCTACCAGCCTTCTATGGCAAAACCTGGGGTACACAACCCTCATCAACAACATTTTCGTGAAGTAGGTGAGCTTCATTCATACAGTTTTATTCAACCGGGACACACCGATTTGTGCATAGGTCATGCTGCTTGCCACATTCCATTTTCGAAATTATTCCTTGCACATTTTATGCTGCATGATACAAACTCTTGGTTTATCTGCCAACAGCATCGATAACCACTTAAACATAGGAACCACTCAAAACAGGGGATGCTGCTGAGGCCCTACTTGGCTGCCTGCTCCCAAGTCTAAGTGGAGAGGCAGTGCCACGAAATACTAGAACAGGCACCATCTCAGGTCCCCTGCTGAAGAGTGCCGATGCCTACAGAGCTGAATGAGGGCTCAGCCTGAAAGAGGATCTCTGTTCACTCTCCACATAAAATTAAGCCTCATCTAGCACTCAGTCATTCCAGCTGGCAGACCTGGGAATTAAGGGCACTGCCTCTAGCCAGTGATTAGCAGAACACCAATGTTTGAGGCTCCGTGAAAGATGCTCGAGAGCCTTTAGGAATTTTTGAGATGCACAGGCAGCACAAATGAATGCAGTCATACACATACACATAGAGAGAGGCCTGAGACACTGCGGCTGCTGCCGCTTATCTAGAGACGCTGCAGACAGCTCAGGTTTACCCCAGCTGACAGGCAATGAAAACAGTCTAATATACCGCCTGCTCTCGCCCTTAAATCCCTTTTTGGAGATCAAGATAAACTCGTTTCTTCCCTTCCCCAGTGCTCCAGACGTTTGAGTGAAGTGGCAGAGTATTGTGAGGTTTTGTGCAAATGAAATCACTGTGTAATACTGAATGAGTGTAGTATTTACTTGTCAGGATATTTGTCAGCACACAGGCTTTGAGCCTTCCGAGTTTCATAGATGCAACTTTAGCTCAATTTTTTTTCAAAAAAATTGCTTTTGTCCTGATATATACATATTATATCAGGGCCCCTCAGACTTATAAGCAAATATTTGCAATTGTGTGCTGCAGATGTGAAAAATAATGATGCATATCGATGCATAAAAAAATGAAAATTCTGCTGCTGTTTTCTTCCACTTTACCCAACGTTTTCCCCTTTAAACATTCCTGGTGGATCTAAGAATTCAGCTATGCACATGGAGTCCTTGCTGCCATCCTCTTTCTCATTAGGGTATTTCCACTCTCAAGAGGATTTCAGGAGGGGTTTTGTAAATTTCCTAAGCAATTGTCATCACTGGATTTCCTCCATGATTTTAGACATTAAAGTCACTCTGGGATCTGTCGGGTTATTGATAAAGGTTTGGTTAAGGCAGAAAGGGAGAGAGAGATGAGAAAGAAAAAGTGGGAAGAAGGAAGAAGTATTAAAATAGGAACAAAGGAAAGGAGAAAGGATGAGAGAGAAGAGAAGGGAGGGGGAGTGAAAAGAGGAAGGGGAAGAAAAAAATGTAATAGCTCATCTACTCCTGGTGCTAACACCCTCCTCCTTGACCTGAGAGGACTACATTTTTAAAAGCTGACAAGTAATTCAATCTCCAATTAACAATTTTAAGTGGTGCAGCACATATTACTGTGTAAATGTTTCTCCAGGAATACATCCAAGGGTGACTGGAATTAAATCTCTAGGGAGACAGG